TCGCCGTTATAAAGAGAGAGTGTTGGATGCAGCTGCGATCTGAAAGAAATATTCTCTGACCAACGAAGCCAGTGGGTCTTGTGCACATCTGTCCTGCAGCTATGTGACTGATTATTTTAGGCATTCCAATTCAGGACGTCCCCAGGAGGCAAGTGTCCCGGAACAAGGGCCTCTGTCTTTGGTCTGTACCCCCCCTTCCCCTCTCTTGTTTTTCACTCTCTCCTATAGTGCATGGGGCCCTGTATCTACAAAATGATCATCTCTAAAGAGCCTACTCATAAACTTGTAAATGAACAACACAACCCATCCTCTATGTATGAGTGAGTGAGACGGAGAGGGAAGGGTGGGGGAGTAGTTGAGTTTCCATGGAGTAATAGTGGACCTATAGGGGTGACTGTGGCACGCCATTCTTCTTGACGGAGCAAAAAAAAAATCTCAAATCTGCGCCGCGCCCTGACTCAAGCTATTGTGAGGGAACACAAGTGGTTCTCAGAAGGAGAAGGGGATGGAGAAGAAAAGGGGTGGGGGTCAGAGTTCAGACCAAAACCTCACAACGGGAGTCCCTCTCTGTTATCAAATTTGTCCGGGACACAGACGGGGCTACAGTGTGGTGTCACGGAGAGAGGAGAGAGAGAAGAGAGAGAAAATAGAGAATGAGAGGAGAGAGAGAGAGAGAGAAGGAGAGGGGGAATAGAAAGAGAGGGAATGGGAATAGAGAGAGAGAGGGAGGAGAGGGTTAGGGTTAGCAGTTCAGCCTCCTCTGCTCTGTCTGTGTCAGCAACTCAATTGTCCCACTCCGCCTCAGACTCTCTCCACCTCTGCAACTACGGTGAGTACTCTGGTTTTCTTTAGAAATACTTTAAAACATTCTCAGTGCACAGACAGACTGGCACTCTCACTTTTTGTCCTAGAAGTCTGTTTTTATTTAACCACTTATTTTTATGCATGCCTTTATTTTATCATAGTTTATATTTTACTATGATTTTTCTTTTTTTTATGTTGCACCATTGTTTTGATATGTAAATATTTCAGATTTTATATTTTATTTGATAATGCTGAAACCTAATATCTTGATTTTTTACTTTTATGTATTGATTTCATTTTTATTATTTTATTTATTGATTCTATTAGTTTCCTCATGGTTCAGACATAACTCTGCTGATTTTTTTTTTTTAAGTAAAATGTTTTACATTGATATGTGAAGCACTTAAGAAACTGTCTTGTTCATAAAATGTGCCATACAAATAAAGTTGGATTGATAGGTACAATTCAAAATCTGGATTAAGAAATTAATAAATCAGTTAGAAGTGTCAAAAAAGTTTGACCAAAACATTAGAAAGAATTTATTTTTTAAATAACTGGCACTACATACTATTACATGAATATTGAAATTATTGTATGATTTAAATTACCAAATAATAATTCAAAAGCACAAAAATCTAAACTTATCATTTCAAATTGCCCAATAATGTCCTGAATGAATTCTTTTTGGGGATATCACCAGGATAATGTAATTAGTTGCTATTTTGCTTGACTAGTTTTAAGCTGGCGTGGCACTGCTCTGTGGTTTTTGAACTCTATAGTGGTGGATGTTTGAGGCCCGTCTCTAAGTAGGATTATCCCCTGGAGGAGACACTTTTTGTGGGTGTTTTGTGGTCCTGGACTGTCCTCTCTCCTGGGACCAGTGCCTCCTCTGTCAGACCTCTTTTTCCCTCTATGGTCAGGGTCTGAGCTTTGGCTGGTAGAGCCAAGTGGTCTCCAAAACACTGGGATTTACTATAAAGGCATGGATAAAAATCACTGTTACATTTGACCACCTTGCAATGAATCCAAGCACCTGCTTTGTGTTTTCCATGTATTTGTGATATAACACTGTTTTGTGACAAACTACTCTATCCTCTTTAATAAAGACCATAAATAACCTGATCCTAGATTTTGCTGAGCAGACATAAAGACAGCTGTCATAGTAGTAGTAGGAGTAGTAGTAGTACAAAATATTTAAAAAAAACTAACATTTTGCAATACTACCAGTACAAGAGCTCATACTAGTAGTACATTAATTTCTCTTAATATATTTACTCTAATAGTTATAATATACTGCTTATTACTGTAAAATAATATAAATATTTTGTCTTATGTTCTTGTTAGTATGCTGTATTAAAAACCTGGATTTGAATCAAATCATAATCCCAATACAAAGGACCTCCTTCATGAAATATGTGCTGGCCAAGTTGATACATACATAGATAAATAATAGACAATAAAAGGAGTGGAGGGGCCATTTTTGCCAAAATCTCCAACAGAACAGTCACTATTTGTCAAATCAAACTCGCACCGTTGTCTCAGAGGAATGTTGTGAATTCTTTGTGTTATGACCGAGTGCGTGTCAATGCTTTAGAAGGAATTCCTCGCAGTAAACAATGGATTAAGCCTAGATTCAGTTACATCTAAAAGTGCATTGTGCAGATTTTACACCTAAGAAAGGCATGCACGGTACGTTGTGACGCATCATAGTAGTAAAATGGATGTGTTACAAAGCTTTATTGATTGCTTTTCACCAGAATCTCTGTTACGGAAAGAGCAAACTAGATCAATGAGTTTATCTAATAAAAAAATTACAAAAGAAGATCAATAGTTATTATTTCAGGTATTTTCTTTCCAAAGTTGTTTATAATGTAATTTACATATTGAGTTGGCATAGGTTTTACACTATTCCTAGTACCACTAACAAATGACCCCTTGTGACCCCTGGATTACACAGACTGTTGCAATAATAATTATTTATAGAAAAAAATATTTGGGTTCTGCAGTAGGTTGGATACAAATCTGGTCTTCTCCTTTTTAACACTGAAATTTAACATTGAGAATGTAAATTGATCTAAATTAAAATATGCATTACCATGGCTACATAGTTACATTTAATAACAAATCCGGCAAATCAGGCAACATAACTTTGGGTCGCTGTTAGTAACACATGAAGAAAAATGGTGGACCTGCACCTTTAATAACTTGGAAAGCATTTGTCTCTAGTTAAATTGTAGCTTGAATGAGTTGAATTCTCAGACAGAGGAGAAGTGGAGAAGGAAAGAGAGAGAGGAGGAAGAGAGAGAGGAGGAAGCTGCTGACTGGGACTGAGCCCTGTGTAGATGAGCCAAAACACTGACAGCTATTGTTACCTGCAGACGCCCACCGGGAAAACTCGCTCCTCGAATCATTCACTTACAATTATGGAGGCTGGGACATCCTAGTGTTGGTTCCTCTTTCAAAAAAATAATGTTGTTGCTGGTGCCATTTCAACAAATGCCATGTTACAAATGATTACAAAGAGGGTTTTAGTATGTAATATAAACATGGTGGATTGGACAATGGCTAAATTTACACATTGTTGCTGCTGTAGTGGAAGGTGAAAATATATTTGGATTCTTTGACTGGCAATTTTTAAATAGAGATGTAGTAATTATAAATTAATAAAAAATATATGTTTCTATTGTTTGAGTGGGGTCATAAAGCGTAACTGAATATTTACTAGGCCTGGTATCATTAAGAAGTTGCCGATACAATACATACCTCAATATGTAGGTCACGATACGATACATAACTCGATACAGTGCACTTTCGATTTGATACAATATATTTCAAATCGATTTTGATAAGGTTTAGTAAAAATTAAGACTGAATCATGGCTGTGATACTAAAATACTTTGTTAAACCACTTCACAACAGTGAAAATGTCAAATGTGTCGCATAAACGAGTTTCCATCCACTAAAAACAAGCGACAAGCAACAAAACTGTAGCACTGTAACAAAATAATTTAGTAAAATATATATATCGAGATATATCGATACAGCAGCCCACGATATCGATACTGTATCATCACATTAATCGATATGATAGATCAATAATATTTCGATATTTTTACACACCCCTAATATCTTCTGTGTATTTTTGTCAATAAAAATGTTTTACTTCAGCCCAAAAAAGATGGATGGACACACATTACTTAGAAAATAACGGTATGGGAAAGAATAAAAATGAAGGTGAACATGGCCCAGTGGTTTACAGATGGCCTTAGACAGAGGAATTAGAAACAAATCCATGACCATAATACTCTAAACTTTGCAAACTAATCATGCATATTTATTACTGTTTTATTAAAACTGCTCAAAGTAATAATAAACCCAATTCAATTTTATTTGAAATAATAAAATGCCGTTACAAATTCTCCACATGGCATAGCAGCCTAGTGATGTCATTTCTTATAGTAATCTATATGTGAAATGTCACAATATTATGTACTTTTGAGACTCTAAATCCTGGATTGTGCAGTAGTAAATATTAGCCACTTCATAAAGACTCAGTGTTTGTGATGCCCTGCACCCTTCTCAGAGAGGTCAAAGGTTGATGGCTCACCCAAGGGCAAGAGCTCCATAAAAGGATGCTTTAAAATGGTCTAGTGTATTCTCATACCCAAAACTGACTCAAGAGCTACCACAAATGCCAAGCCTGCCTATCCCTTTACGTAGTTATAGACTGCAAGTATGTTTTTGTGTGATGCAGATTTTTTAGAAATGATGTCAAATCAGAAATCATACTACTGGCATTTTAAAAACTTTACTTTAATACTTTAATAGCCTTGAATTAGTTTAATAGCCTTGCCAACTGTGTCAGTGTTTTACTCTGAAACTGACATCTTCCCCACAGCAGCAGAAACATACAGTATTTCCCCTAACAAATCCATTATACTCTTTCCTCATTTCATACTGTATAATTTTACCTTGGTGCGAATTTCAACATCAGAGGATAAAAAGTCATTGCAACTAATTTCCATGTCCATTTAAATGTCTTTTGGTTGAAATATTTCAGCAACAGTACTGTCAAAATTTCTGTCAGTAATCCCTATGTATTTTAATTTCTCCAAATTCCATGTTCAATATTTTACTTGACACTGGACATTTGTTAACTTCTAAATCTCTTCTTCTTCTCTCTGTAGCTCTTCACAATGGAGATTTCCACAGAACTTCCCATGCTGGTCTCCAATATTTCAGACAGCTGCCCTCCTGTGGACATGACCACCGAGAACACCATCTTCGGCTTCTTCTACATCCTGATCTTCTTCTTGGCTCTGAACGGGAATAGTTTGGCATTATGGATCTTCTCGCACCAACGTGGCACCACCTCCTCTCCGGCAAATGTCTTCTTGATCCACCTCGCCATCGCCGACTTGTCCTACGTGATCATCTTGCCCCTCCGCGCCACCTACCATCTCACCAGCGGACACTGGCCTTTCGGGGAGGTGCCTTGCAGAGTGGCTGGATTTTTATTCTATGTCAATATGTATGCTAGCTTGTACTTCCTAGCGTGCGTAGCTGGGGATAGGTATCTGGCTGTCGTCCATGCTGTGAGGTCTCTTAAAGTCCGCCGGGCTCGTTGCGCTCACATTATTAGCTTCTCGCTTTGGGCCTTAGTCACTATTTCCATGGCCCCGCTCCTCATCTCTCACCAGACCGCAGAAGTTGATGGTGTGACAGTGTGCTTACAGCTGTATCGCGAAAAAGCAACGCGCAATGCTCTGATTTCCTTAGCGGTAGCATTCACGCCACCTTTCCTAGTTACTTTATCTTGTTACCTGCTAATAATTAAAAGCTTACATCACGGTTCAAGACTAGAGCCGACTCTTAAACTCCGAGCCCTGCGCACCATTGGTCTAGTGCTGCTGATCTATGTGGTATGTTTCTTGCCATATCACGTTAGCAGAGCCACTTTCATTTTGGGATACAACCACCCCGGTATTTCATGTGGGACGCGCAGAGGGCTGAGTTTGGCCAATCGCCTCACCTCTTTGCTCACCTGTATGAATGGGGCCTTGGATCCGCTGGTGTACCTGTTTGGGGCAGAGAAGTTTCGAGGGACCCTCACCAGACTGCTGTGCAAAGACAAAGGCAGCTTGTCCGGCGCAACGAGTGGAGAGCTAAAAGCAACACATGAGAGCTCTGTCAGTGCCAAGTCTGAGTTTTAAGAGCCTAAACTCGTCAATTAATAGATCCTAAAATTATTAAAAATACCTCTTATCAAACAACTGTTAGTGTTTATGTTGCTTTACTCAATTTAAAGGAACTGTATGTATCTTGTGCTCAAAGGTGCCTGCACGTACAGTAGAGGGCACGCAGGGCAGTAAACTGGGGGTGGGGGTGTTTTGGGATTTAGGGACCCAGAATTGGACCCTTTTCCTCTTAATTTATATTAGAGGGGGACCCATGTGAGGCTTCTTACCCTGGGTCCCCCAATTTCTGTTGATGGGCCTGGGGACACGTACAAGTTTTCCTCATTTTGATGGTTATGGTTTAGGTAGTTAGGAATTAGATCAGATAGAGTCATTTTAGGTTCAAACCAACTGGTGTTAAGGACTAAACCTGTCAGCAAAAAAGAGAGACTTATTTGAGGTTCATTCTGCTTTCTTATTGGATAATCCCCTTGACAACCAAAACATCAAATTATAACATAATAATTACAACAACTTGGCCAACATATCCAGTCTTTTTTGTAATTAAAAATAAATCAGCATTGCAGTTCTTATCAATAATAGCTATATCTGATAATATTGTTGGAATTTAAAATCTAAATCTTACATTCAGTTCCTTTAAAGGTTCAACATGAAGGATTCTGTAACACCTTGAGGTAATGTTTGGTATTGCAACTCATTTTGTGTAGATAGATTCAAATAGGTTTTTTGTGTATTCATTTCCTTATTCACTGGCTTAACTTTGTAACGCTTATCATATGCAAACTGTTTAAAACTCCAGCTTCAATATTTGGCCCCATACCTGGATGTGAAACTGTTAAATACAGTAATACTTGTTCCACCACCTGTCAAAGTGGTACAAGTGATGCATTTTAAGGAAATCATGAGCATTTGTGAAGTACGATTACTATTTTGATACATTCAGGTCATATTTTCACGTTTCAAAAATGTGTGTTTTTTACAAGTATTTGAGGATGTGAAAAATTCTTGTACAGTTGTAGGCATGTGGCTGGAGCCCTTTGTATAATACTAACAGAAAAAGGGCAGATGTACATATCAAATAAATCCATGCATTTTTACCTTATATGCCAAATGTACTATATGATTTTTTTTAGACTTTTTGACAGTTTTTTACATTTGTTGTATATTTTGTATGACTTTTATCCCTGGAATTTGAGTTTATTGTTTACATTGTGCTTGACAATTTTGCCTTTTTTATTCGGGTTTGTGACGCTTACACATAATGCTATGCATTTATTATAACTACCACATATTGCACTATGGTATGACATACTAATACTGACAAATACTAAACATATGTATTGTATTTGAATGAATTCTTATTCTTTTGTATTTTTGTATTAAATGATCTTTGTAATAAAATGCTTTTACATATAAACACTTTTTTTTTGGTCTGTGTGAAAGCAGAATTAAAGCTGATAGCTTGTTTGAGGGACTAACAAAAGCTCTATATATTTATTGTATTCAGACATCCTAAAATAGTTATGTAATATTATTTGGTTTCTCAGCACTTTCCTGTCTAGATGAAAGTGACAGCTAGACCCTAGTTGAAACAGAGCATGTATACACGTGACCAAAGTTGTGGTTTGAGCGCCGCCTTAATTCTCCTCCCTTTATTTCAGCAAGATTTCCTGTCCATCACATGAACAACCACACTAAAGTTGCATTTCCTTGTTTCGTTACATGTAAGCCTTCCATTAGAAAATCTACAAATACATTGGGAAATAGGACAGTTGTGGAGTCCATTTTTAAGATAAAAATTATTAAAATATATATGTATGTTCAAATATTTATAGCTAGCACTGTATCATTCACATTTGCTTAAGGCTACTTCCTCTTTTTATGGAAACTTGCATTGTTGTTAACACATACTCATTATAAACCATTAAAAGCAAATGCAGCAAATACATTTAGACTGTTAATGATTGATGCACTGAGATAAAGGTTTGTGGTGTGTAACAGAAAAACTATCTTGGCTTTATAGATATAGCAACAGGGCCCTCCTCTCAGCTTCACAATGAGGAAGTTGAGCTGCAAGCCACTAGTTGCTTCCTTTTGCAGTTTTAGACACAGGGCAGGACTAGACACTCAAATATGCCAATGATGAAATAAAAGACGGCTTTACGCAGATCGGGGGAAGGATTTAAACTTGATGGTAAAATTGTAGGTGCAGTTGAAGCAGATTCGGAGGGGAATCAGGATGCCCACTTACCAGCCTTGGTACCATGGCATGATAACACGGTCTAGAGCTGAAGACCTGCTGTCCAAAGAACCACGAGATGGGAGCTTTCTCATTCGGGATAGTGAGTCCATCCAAGGAGCATATGCCCTCTGTGTCCTGTAAGTAGGCATTTTTTACTATTTTATTTGAAAAGACATCATTTAGCAACATAATTTTCTGTTTAAAATATCATGACGTAGAATTTCTTATCATATCAGTAAATGACAAAGCATAAATGACAATATTACAGAGCTATATTAAGACAATGAAAAGCAACATACAGTTAAAAGTGAATTACAATCTTCACAGATGAAAGTCTTCAATGCAAATTCAGTTCCCCTTTAGTAGAACTGTGAGCACCAACTAAGTAACACCTTTGGCCTTAGCAACTCATTTGAGAAAAATACATTCTTACGGTGAATGAAGTCTGCTCTCCACAGATCTGACCTGTAATTGCATTGATATAGCTAAGTTTAAAGCCCTCCAAATTCTAGGCCAAACAATGTCACAGGAGTTGGATTCGGTTCATTGGGTCTTCACATTTTAATCATTTTGAGCAAACCTATCAAACCTGTATTTTTGTGTCATATATTTTGTGTCATTGCCATGTATTTTTAAGGGTTTAATTCTTGTTTTTAGAAGATTATATTATCTAAACAATTCCCATTGTTGCATTTGGCTATTCAATTGTGACCTATCTAGCAGCCCTCCTCAAAATGTGCTTTATTTTTACAGATACCAAAACTGCGTGTACACTTACAGGATCCTGCCCAATGAGGACAAAAAGCTCTCTGTGCAGGTAGGGTAAAAATGCCACCTCATTTGAATATTATTTTTAATACATACTCTTACACACCTCTGGCCTAATTTGGTTATGGCCTTCAACTATCTATTTGCAATTGTGTCTTTATATGTGAAATGCAGTGCGGTCAATATCGTAATGAGTTCCACATTTCCACTGTTTTTTTTGCAACATCTGTCTACAAGAGAAAAATGATTTGAGGAAACAGAAATGTGCCATTTTGGGTGCTTCTTAAATACTTGAGCGTTTTTTTTATTATTAGGATGGCTATATGTTCATTTGTTAGTTTTAATACTGATAATAATAAAAAAATATAATTTGTGTAATTATACAGAGGTTTCATATTTAAAGTTGCTTTACAGTTTGGTGTATTATTCAGGCAGCAGTACATAAAGCCAATGCTGCCCAAGAGTGGCACTGAATACTACTTTCTACCCACAAATATTTGCATACAAGGTGATGAATTGTCTTATTTACAATATGCACCCACAAACCACCAACCTCCAGGTTAGAGATCAAATGGGTTTCAACTGAGCTTCTGCTAAACCCTACTTCTCAATCATTAGATCTGAAAATGATAGTGATAGTGTTCATCACAGGCCTTGGTTATGGCTAATTATTTTTTTAAACTCCACAAAGGAATTTTAGATTAGAAGTAGATTCCATTGCAAAAGAAAACTGAATATTGTAAAATGGACAAACATCACGTCACTCACAAAACACAAGACAGAATTGAATTTTCTTTCATAATGGAGAAATGTAAATGAATTAATGTAAATCTTTTCTCTGGTAAACCCTCTGATCCTCCCTAGGCCTCAGAGGGAGTGCCCATTCGATTCTTCTCTGGACTCCCTGAGCTGGTGGATGCCTACTACAATCCCAGCATGGGCCTGGTCACACACCTGCAATATCCCGTACAGAGAGAGGACGAAATGGAAGATGACACAGGTAAGCACTTTACAAGCTTGACACACACACACAGGTAGGAACTGGCTGAGTAAATAATTAATCTAATAATTTAATAATTAATGGAGTGCAATAATATCGCAAATGCAGTTTTCTTCTTCTAATTTTTGGGATCGCCACGGCAAACCAGTGTCACAATTATTTTTTGAGCCTAATGATATTGCGCTATTGATTTCACAATGAAGTAACTTGCTTAATACACAGCATCCAACATTTTTGAATTTGTGAATGCATAATTATTCTTTTGTGAGCAGAATCCAGCCTTCCTCCTCAACTCCCTCCACGAAATTTCTCATCCAATGACACCAAAGACACAGAACAAGTCACCAAGTCCCTGTCAGATACTTACATGAGCAGACTGCAACACATGGACCTATCTATGTAAGTAGAATCAGCTCATAACCAACGGATTCAATTTTGTTAAGAAATACAGTATGTTAGATATATTAGCTTGAGAATAGTAAATAACAAGTCTAGTTTAAGCTCATGTTTTTATAGGTCATACTTTCTACATTTGCTTTTTTAAATATCTCTAAATGTTCTGTGGTTCAGTATTATCTCTAGAGATCTTAAATCACCACAGCTTTCCATGGCGTATATACCACTAAAAGTAGCCACACACTGCTGCTATAAGCATGTATGTAAGTACATGCACAGTGTGGCTGTTTTAGTTTTGTTTAGTGCCCTAGTTGACTTCCTTTGTATATTTAAGCTGGAACAAAGTAGTAACTGTGTGTTATGTCCTTTTTATTTATGCATAATAATCTTATTCCCCTTACATTTGCATAGAAAACTTGAACTTGGTTTAACAGAAAAGAGATGAATTACCTTTTTTTATATTTTAATTAAGGCCTAACCTCTTTGTAATACTGTAATAAGAATAAATAGTTTTTTTCTTATTTTCCTTTTTACTGCTAATGTTTTTCAGCTGCAAATCAACTACCTGCATCTCACCTCTCTTCGTCACTCTCGACTCCTGCACTGATAATGTTATGGCTTCCACAAATCTCTTTTCTTGTCTTTTCTTGTAAATATATTGTTCTTGTTTTAACTGATTCAGATTACAAGAGGAGCATCAGATGGCGCTCCAAGACTATTTCAGGACCTCGGTGTGTTTGGATGTTGAACAAGTACAAAATGGAAACCCCAACCTCCCTGGACTGAAGAAACTTACCACGATCATCTGCAAAAACCTCAACAAGTACAAATCCTCCATTTACAGTTAAGATTACATTGGTAACATTATTTGCAATAATTATTACCTGTTATTGTTTTGGCTAACACAGTGAGATCTCCCGCGTCCTGCCGTCTCTGGAGATGGTGCACCGTGTCCTGGACCAACAGCTGTCTCCAGGGATTGGGCACCTGTCCAGACAAGTAAGTACATTTCAGAATACTACAGTAATAACTAGGGGTGTAACGATATCCAAGTCTTGTGATACGATATCATCACAGTATGAACCTCATGGTACTATATTTATTGTGGGAAAGCTCACGATATGTTGGGAAGGCTCACGATTAGGGATGTAACAATATCCAAATTTCTCTGTATGATATTTTCACGATATGCATCCCTTGCTATGATATTTATTGCGATATTTTGTGGAGGCTAACAAAACTGTTAATATGTGATTTTTTTTCCTCTAAAAATGCCTTGACAAGACTTACTCCAAAAAAGAAGACATAAAAGTGCTTAGAACTGTTATTTCTTCTTGTAGTCTACACTGAAATGGAGCAAAGGATCATGGTCTATGTAGTTCCCTCTGTCTTTTTTTAGTTGTTGCTGCACCATAACTCTTAATTTAAGCAAAAAGACTTGTAATTTGATATATTGTAATGGTCCGCAATATTATTGTGAGAACTTTGACGATACAATATCACGACATTTCGGTTATTGTGGCATCCCTAGTAATGCAGTTACGTAATATGTCTGTAATGATCCACAGTTATTCAAGCAATTTATCTTCTCTTAAAAAAAACAAATCTAGGTGACTACTTTTTTTAAATTCCGAAAGTCACTTCACAGTTTAGTGCTAATAGTTTGGAACAGGAAAGGTGTACTGGAACCACCATATCATCAGAATAGTCAATGATATAATTACCCTCCCTTCCCCTGCCTCCGATAGTACTGTACTGTACTGTACTGTACTGTACTACTTTTATGAAGTGCTAATATTGCAATTTCCACCATATACACCCTTCCTCTAAGAGTGCTGTGTCACTAGTACATGATACTTTGCAGATGATTACATCAACATTCCCTGCGGATGTGATGCTAACCGCAGGCATGCTCTGTCTAGTCTAATTTGAGCTTTATTTTAACACAATCTGTCCAGGAAGAACTGACTTAGTTGGAACTACAACAGTTGAGCTGATCTGTGCCGTTAAGCAAATTACAGTCACAACCTAGCTAGCACTACTCTACAGTTTTTCAGTTAGTCACTCTCACCTTTTGTGTTGAAAATGAAACTCCTAAACAGGACCTTGAAAGCTAGTATTGACAACAGGCTCCCGAAATGTGTTATTAAAACATTTTTGGTAGAACCCCCCTCACATGATGTCAATGCAAAATATCAATTGACACCTAAAAATTTGCATAGCCTAAAATCATATTGGTCTCAATGTTTTTATAATGTTATGCTCTGTGTGTTGTTGTTCAGGTTTCAGTTGATTCGCTCCAGTCCACATCGTTTAGACTTGAGCAACTGACTAAACTGCTCTACTCTATCGAAGATAAGGTAAAATAAATAGAGCAAATAACCTCCTGATCGGCTGACAGCTGAAGTCACAATATGTTCCTTGTTTTAGGCCAAAGGTGCTGTATTTGAGTCTGCTGGTTATGAAGGAGGTCATAGAAAATCAATTATACCTGCTGTAACATTTGAGGTACCAAATAATCTAAAAATTTGCATAATTAATGTATGGGCACAATTTGGAGTAAACATAATTTTTGTAACTGCAGGTAAAGCAGGAATCTCTCGGTATACCCACAAAGATGTTCCTGAAAGTGGATGTAGAGAGCGGAAAGTTGTTCTTTAAAAAGTCTAAAGATGGTCCTGAAGACAAATACTACGTCCACAACAAAAGTAAATCAGTTTTCATTGTAATATAATTGCTGTATGTTGTTAGAGTGTGTTATTATTATATCCTTGGTAAAATAGAAATAATAAATAATAATACAAGAAATGTGACACTCCAGTTGATTTAACTAATATTTTGCAATGTTTAAAGTGCTAAGATGACCAAAAATAAGAACCAAAATTTAATTATTTGGACAGGGTCACTGTGTATATTTATGGCTTCAAAATTATATTCTTGGACACTACCATTATAGTAACTATGCCACCTGCTGTGTGTTGCCATAGAAAGAGGGATTTGTATGCATAGTATTTGCTGCTTGAATGCACAATTGGCACAGCACAAGTCTACATACTTTGTCAGAGCAGCTTAGTCCTGAATCTTGAAAATAAAATATATTTAGGATTTACAAACAAGGACTATCAATCAGCCAATACATAAAAAGTCAATCTGTACATGTCGTAAAATAAAGCTCTACAATACAATCAAATCTGATACATCTAGGAACTTAAGATATATGTTTAATAATAAGTATAATAATAAGTCTTTTTTCAGTTTTACAGTTGGTCAAATCTCAGAAGATCCCAGCCAAGATCACCATTCATGTAGAGACAGAGAAAGAGAAAGTTGTGAAGAAAGAGTTTGTGTTTGAAGATGCAAAGGTAATCCTCATTTGTATAGCCAAGAACAAATGCCTTTGGATTCAACATAATATTTATATTATATATTAATTCCTAAAATAATCTAGAAAAGGGAAGGTTTTTGTCAGCTGCTGCAACTGATGAAGAACAAGCACTCCGAGAAACCTGAGCCAGACATGATCACGGTTTTTGTTGGTACTTGGAACATGGGTAAGATTTCCAAGAAAAAAAAAAAAAAAAACACAGAAAACCTCAAAAACATATTGATCTCTGCTACTGTCCACCAAAGGCCCTTGTTTAATCCTGGTTAATCTCTGGTTTAGTGTTTACTCCAAGTATAATCTTGATTTTGCCCTGTTTAGTCCAGTTTTTTTAAATAATAATAATCTGGTTACTACCTGGATGGGACAGTGGGGCACCGTGTCAAAAAATGTTGTGTCATTAAGCAACACACTTATGATTGTGTAGAGCACACTCTGATTTACATTTTATATGAAAAGTGCTTTACAAATAAAGTCTGATTTAAGACAAAATGATGTGATACTTCCACAATAATAAAATTTGACTTACTCCTCTCTAAAGGAAATGCCACGCCTCCCCTCAACATCAGCTCGTGGTTCCACTGCAAAGGACAGGGCAAGACCAGGGACGACACAGCAGAGCACATCCCCCACGACATCTACGTGGTGGGGACTCAAGAGGACCCGCTGGGGGAGAGGGAATGGGCAGATACAGTCAAGAGTACTCTGAGAAACATCACCAATATCAGCTTCAAACAGGTGAGACAAGGATGCAACTTTTTAACAATGGTAAAGATTCAGATTCAACCATTATGACACTGTTGATCAATATGAACAAAGAAGGATGTAATTCTGTTCTTAATCTGTTTGGAAATGCATTTTTAGTACTCCTACAACCTTCAGCAGAATCATATGACCATAAAGCCTGTCAAATATTCAAGTTCAATTTATCCTGAAAAAAATGTAAATTTCATTTCTTACTTTTTTCTCTTGGTTATCTCTAGTTTTGTCCTGGCTTGGTCATGTATTCATTTTGGTTTAGTAGTAATTGGTACTCTTTATCATTTAGATTGCCATTCACACACTGTGGAACATCAGGATTGTGGTATTGGCAAAACCCGAGCATGAAAACAAGATTTCTCATGTCTTCTCGGACAGTGTGAAGACAGGGATTGCTAACACACTTGGTAACTATATATTTTCATATGTTGCTGTTAAGGTCCTATATTCATAAGGGTTTTACAAGCCACTGTTTATTCTATAGGAAACAAAGGGGCAGTGGGTGTGTCCTTTATGTTCAATGGGACCAAGTTTGGTTTTGTGAACAGTCACCTGACATCTGGGAGTGAGAAGAAACTCAGGTAAGAGCTTTATTACACTGTTGACAAATGATAAGTTGAGATCTTATTACTATGCACCTTATTCAGGATGTTGCCCTCCGAATGAGCAGTATTTGTTGCCAATATTACAGTTGTGTGATTTTACATAGGGCTGCCAATTTCAGCAAATATGTTACAGGCACTTTACACAAATCAGTGTACTTTAATATTTAGTAGTGAGACTGGATTTCAGTTGTAGTTGATGGAGGGATGAGGGAATACAACTAGTATCAATTGCAAAGATGTGTTAGTGTTTAGGTTTTATTTTAATAAAGCTGTTGTATTTGTAGGCGAAATCAGAATTTCATCTCCATCTTGCGATTTCTAAACCTGGGAGAAAAGAAGCTAACACCATTTGACATCACAAACCAGTTCACTCACCTGTTTTGGCTCGGAGACCTCAACTACAGGGTCGAAATGCAGTCCACTGTAAGCTCCCTTGCTCTATAAAAACACATGATCAAAATGAATCAAAATACTTTAAAAAATGTTTGAAATTGTCCTTGTTGTTTAACAGGAAGCTGAGTACATAGTGTCAAAGATTAAACAGCAGCAGTACCAGGAGCTGCTCCGAAAAGATCAGCTGAACATGGAGAAGAGTGAGGGCAAGGTCTTTCTACATTTTGGTGAGAGATGCCCTCCATATAACAACAACAACCACCACAATAACAATATGTTCAGACTTATGGTTACATTTATTAGTAAACTTCTTATTTTGTTATTCTACACGAGCCTAAATAGCAGGGGTTTCTTTTCAGATGAAGAGGAAATCACTTTTGCACCAACTTACCGTTTTGAGAGATACACACGAGAAAAGTATGCCTACACAAAGGCCAAAGCCACTGGGGTGAGACATGCATGACCACTGCATTGTTCACAGCAGTAAAAACACATTTAAAAGTGATGACAGAAGAATAGAAATGGTTACTTATTTGAAAGTAGATTTCTTATGCTATCTAAGTGCTGCCCTATACTGTCACTTGTTTATGTAAATTATTTGTCAAATATTCATTTTAATAAAAGGAGAATTCTTTCTTTTTCAGTTTTACATACAAATAAAACACTGACTTTGAAGTGTTAGGTGCTCAGATTAATAATGAAATGTGTAATTTTGTTGTTTGTTTATTTTCAGACAAAGTACAATTTGCCCTCCTGGTGTGATCGAGTGCTACGAAAGTCCTACCCTTTGGTTCATGTCATCTGCCATGCTTATGGTGGGAGTATTAGCTTTCATTCAGTTAAAGTACCAGTAATTAATAACTCTATCTAATGGCCCTGATCTGATCACACAGGCTGCACTAATGACATCATGACCAGTGACCACTCACCAGTGTTTGCATCATATGAAGTGGGAGTGGTTTCACAGTTTGTGTCCAAACAAGGTACAGCCAGGAATATGTCCAATAAGATGTCACCGTAACTGTCAAAACAAGTGAATGAGAAATGCAATGTCTTTTTTTCTCTTCCAGACCCGGACAGTGCACCGCAGAGCGGGATCCAGATCATGAACTGTATGGCTACTCTATTGACAAAATCACAGACAAGGTTCTGCATCGAGTACCATTCAAGCTGTTTAGAAAGTAGGTGCAATCATAAAGTGTATGACGTTATTCAGAAAGACTTCTAATTCTAATGTCAAAATAACCTTTTCTCATCAGAACCAGTGAAAACAGCAGAAGGTGAAAACACTCAGCACACAAACGGATTCCTGAAAGTGTGGTTTGGAAACCAAGTCCAGGTAAAGCTCTGTCTCTGTACTGTGTCGGTTAAAACTGTCATTGTAGCTCAGGCACAAATAGATTTTAAACTGATTTTACGTAAGTGCATCAGTTGTAAGATATATTGAACACTTTCTTACATTTCCAGCTCACTCCTATCATCTCTGACCCTGAGTACCTCCTGGACCAGCACATCCTGATCTGTATCAAGTCCACAGACTGTGATGAGTCCTATGGTTGATCCTTCTAACTTGAACCTAATATATATTTAATAATGATACAATGACATAATAAGTATAAAATATTTGTGTATTGTATTCAAAGGCGAGGGCTGTGTGGCGCTCAGAGCAGCCCAGTTTTCATACACCGAGTTTCAGATCACACTCACGCACAACGGAGAGAAAACTGGCACCCTGAAAGGAGGGATCCAACTGAACACCACACAGTGCAAACCTACAGAGAAATTATATGGTAAGTTTAGTACAGACAAAAAAACTGCATGTACAACTTTTTTACTTTTACCACTGTGAACTTTCAATAATAATAATAATAATATGAGATACACACAAAATAATTATAAATGTCACATTTAAGAGAATTTGAAGCTTAAAAAACATATATATATACTCTATGTGTTTCATATTTAATCTTTTCTGTCTACAGATTTTATCAAAGTTGAAAGAGATGATCCTGCATCTTTAAAAGGCAAAGGCGGAGACAAGTAAGATATTGTGCATTTACTGCATCACTTATATACGTCCATTTACCATAGATCTCTGTCATTATTTAATATTTGAATACTTTAAAAGCCTATAGGTAATAGTATACTGTATGTTAATGAAAACACAACAACTGAATAGCATGGTTTGTTCTGCCAATGTACTGCCAAGTTTGATGAGGTGGCTATGTGGGAGAACAAAAGATGTGACTGTGTAAAGCAGACCTCCAAACACTGAACTTTGTGTTTACGCCATTTGTCCAGGTTGTCTCTCTCTCAGGCTCTTGACATCTCAAACCCCAATTATATGGGGCTGCCCTACAAAACTGGGAATATGCAGGAAAAGGGCTGGAGCTACAGCATGCAGCCCAAACCTGTACCAGGCTCACGCAGTCCCACCATGAAACATCCACCGTGAGTGTTAAAACAACTCAACTTTCTGTTTATAACTTCAAATGTATTTTAATGGCACTTTCTAGACACACTTCAAGATTTTTGTGTCTAACATCTTTGTGTCTTTGCTGCTCTATATAATAATCATAAATAACACACTCATTTAATGTATTTGTTTTAAGTGAGGAGGGAAAGAGATCTGAGATGTTTGACAACCCACTGTATGGATCTCACTCTCGCTCCAAAGACCAACAAAAGGACCTGCTATTACCTCCAGACTCCTTTTTATGTGTCAAAACTCCAGACAATGATATAGATCGCCCTCCGGTGCCCACTCCCCGCGCTCGCTCCTTCACCTGCTCGGAAACCAGCCCCCAAACCACAGCTCCTGTAAACACACTCCAAGCCAAATGCAAGAAACCAGTGGTGCCCTCTCGCTCCGATAGCAACACTGTGAATAAGCCGCGTTTACCAGTTAAATCCAGACCAGGGCCCCCAGAACCACCATTTATGAAAGGTAAAGACTACAGAGAAGGTGCAGAGCTCCCAGGGAAACAGAAAGGACCGACCAGACCTCCCCAGACATCACGATTGTAAGTTACTTTTTGTTTTGTCAATTCTGAAGGACTATACTGGAAAAATCATATGCAATTAAACTTCAGTGTTGCAATAATCACAAGCAAGCACTCCCCACCTCAAACTTCAACCCCCGCAATAAACAGTTACTTAAAAACTGTGTTAAACTATACCTAAAATGTTACTGTGTCACATTTGCGTGAAGTAAACATGTTTAGCAATCTTCACGATTTCAAAAGACATAACTATATTGCTTTCTTACCAAGTAGTGGAGTAAAAATGTTTCTTGCCATTTCTGTTTTTCTTCAGTTCATCATGAAATTTCAGAGATGAGTCACCCTTCTGGAAGTGACAGTCCTTTCCGCCCTGCAAAATGTTGGAGTTATTTCATTTTGGACACTGAATTTATGATACTCCCCAACCAGATTGTGGTTGGGAGTATAGTTTCTGTTACATTTCTTTTTTTCACACTATTTTAGTCAAGTTAGTAAATAGTTACCACAAAGTATTAATTGCACAAGCATGGTTTGTTTTTAAATATATGGCTATAAAAAATAAAAATATTTTATTGTAGTTTTTCGTATGCTTACTTTTGTCTGTTATGAATGTGAAACTGAATGTAAAACAATAAGAGTCAAATTCAGAATAAGCACAAAATAAACTTATAAATTATTATCACTGTACTGGTTGATTGATTAATTTGTAGAATAGCTGATATTTACAGTAGAACAATAGCTTTTTTGGCTCCATCTGCTGTAACTTTTAGGTATTGCAATCGGTCAGAATGCGACGTAAAAATGTGTGAATTGCATTAGCTATACAGTATGAAGATAGTATACATCCATACATTATCAAGTTTGAAATGTATACATATCTTAGTTTAAAATAAGAATTAGCACAATAAAATAAAATGCAACTCACTGGTTCTCTCGGATGTGTCAAATTACGTATCTTACACATCGTTATCAGCAGACAACCTACAGTCTGTGGGAGAAAAATAGGTGGATTTTTAGTTATAAATATAAATGTGTGTTTTTGTGTTATTTTTTGGTTGTTTATCAAAGTATTTCTGTGAACACGCACACCTCTGGCTCCCTCGCGCGTTCACACAGTTGCCCCGCAGTTGTCGCGCAGCTTTTGCGTCACGGCAACCTCATCAACACGGGACGAAAACCGCGCAAGAAGCGAAAATGGTGAGCTAGCTTTTTATAGTGTAAAAATTGTCTCGTTACTGCATTTATATCGCACATATCATGTATTTAATGTTGTGTTTCATTGTTATAAAGTGCACATCTTCGCTCTTTTGCCTGCTAGCTGTTGGTGTAGCTCGTGTCTCAGTTTTAATTCGCCGCCGCTGTGTCGCTAAAAGCTTCTTGTCTTTCTGTTTCCACAGCTTTTCTACTCGTTTTTCAAATCTCTGGTGGGCAAAGATGTTGTGGTCGAGCTGAAAAACGACCTGAGGTAAATACATTGTTCTTTGATTGTGGTGTTTGATTCTGGTGTTTTCCCAGTTAATAGAGTTAGATTCATTCATGCATTTTAAAAAGTAAAGTAGATGTAGCTCATAAAGGCACTAAAAACACACCCCACTGCACACATTAACAATACAACTGCCACTGACCGCACTTTTGTCACGCTGCACTTCGTAATGTTCTCGCATGTGTCTTATTTTTGCTTTTTTGACCTATGCCCATTTCTCCACTTTCAGCATCTGTGGGACGCTCCATTCAGTGGACCAGGTGAGAGAGTGTTGCATAGTTTTTACTTCTCAGTCTTGGTTTGTTTGTTTTTTTTAAATCGTGTTCCTTGTTCCTTGCAGTATCTGAACATAAAGCTCACAGACATCAGTGTCACAGATCCAGAGAAATATCCACACATGGTGAGTCCTTGCTTTTTCAGTCATAACCTCCATAATGGCAACCATTGGCCTTCATGGCCCCTAAACATAAAAATAAGGATACCCAATAGCTAATGTTTGGTTTTATTTTAGGACATAGGTCTGGATAAATTACTTGGGTAGGCCAACTAATAAGAATCTTAATTTATTATGGCATTTGAACAGTGTCAGACATTGTTTAAAACTATGGCATGTTTTTAACATTTTTCCCCATGTAATCAGGAGATGCCCTGAAATCATTTCACAGTCTCTGACCCTCAGCTTGAGAACTACTTATTTAGACTATACCAACCACTGGGCCTGTCACAGTAACATTTTCATTTTAAAGCATGGAGTATTGCTACAGAGATATAATGTGATAAACAATAATATTGAAACTTTAATTTATGCCACAGATACAGTAACAATAATGGAAGATAATCCAAGTATAGGCCACCACACACTACAGGATTTCTTAAAGGGTTTTTAAACGTGCAACAAAAAGTGCACACTACAGACACAAGGAGAATCTCATGAGATTTTAAATCACCAAGCAAAAAGACTGCAGCGGGATATGTCTGTGTACCACAGGCCATAAAGTTGTGAGCGCGATTGCGTTTGCTGTTTCCTTTCTGATGTAAAACTAATCTCTCTGAGACTCTTAAGTGTTAAGAAGATCAGAGCACTGCACTTCTAGTTTAAATACAAACCAAAACAGTGTTACTATTATTTGTGAAATGTGGTGCAATACTTCAGATACATGATTTTTAATATACAGAAGGTTGCCGATAAAGTTCCCAGGAAGTATTGTCACTATCACTAATCTGCATCTTCACCCCGATGCATGCACTGCATGGATGTAAGCAGATACATGTGAGGAACTACTCTTGCCTTTTTTACTTTTAAAGAACACTTCAAACTGGATTAACAGCGCTGTTTTGTGGCCTGGGTGTCATTATTTGCGGAGGACACATTCTATGGATAATGTGGATACAGTTCTGCAGTTTAAATTTACAGTTTTATGAGAGGTGAATTGATGAATTGTATAGATGATAGATGAAATGTTTTCACTGTTTACTGAGTAAACAACAGTTTCTTACCATGACCCTTATGCCCAGCCCTTGTCTGGCACTGCCATCCTAATTTACAATTAACTGGACAGCTTGAATGGTACTTACTCTATGCAGAGCCCATTCTTGTTATCTGGGTTGACTGACTTACATGCTGTTACAAGTAACCCAATGTGTCCAATATGTACTTTATTGTTGCTCATTGTCTTTTTGTTATCAGTTGTCTGTGAAAAACTGCTTTATCCGGGGCTCTGTGGTGCGGTACGTTCAGCTCCCCGCAGATGAAGTGGACACACAGTTGCTCCAGGACGCTGCTCGGAAAGAGGCCATGCAGCAGAAGCAGTGATGGAGCCAGAGGGAGGGCTGATCAGGGTTTGGGGGTTGGGGGAAGTTTTTGTAAAATAAGTAGATTTATTGGGTGTGTTTTTTTTTTTTTTGTCACAGTTGTGTATCTTAAGTGTTTGCTGTGTTCAAGGCCATATTTTTCATGCCTGTTGAATTGCATTTTTGTTTTTTATTGAAAATAATTTGCAGACTGTAATTATTTGAAATTCCTTTAGTCTAAAAGGCATTTGAGGAGACTTCATTTGTCATGTTTTTGTTGAAGAAAAAAAGATTGTGAATTCATTTCTGCTAAAGCAATTAGAGTGAAATAAAAGCATGCAAAGGGCGCAATGAAAAATCTTTTAATTTACATCTGCACTTGATTTATCACGTACAATGAAAAATGTTGACTTGTTTTTTACTTAATGTTAAATAAAATATTTTATTTATATTTGGTATTTTTCACGTCAAGTAATTTCTTAAAACATGATTTATTTAAATTCACATTAATCACCAAATATTCCTGATATAAAAATGACACACCATTTACTACAAGTAGAATTGGTGCACACACTTGGCATTTTGCGTTGATTAGCCGTCAGTGTTTTACTGGTAACTGCTGAAGTAATGAGGCTAGTTTGCTGCAATGTACTGGCCATGATTTCTCATGTTCACATCACTTTCAAAAGACGATATCACTAAAACTTACTACTGTTTTCTTTAATTAATAGTTTTAACAAAATTTCTATCCCTTTAACTTTTTAAAAGCCTAATTAGAGACATGAGCTGTAGCCTATGGCTAAAATCCTAAAAACATGACTTAAAAAAACAGTTTAAGACAAAATGCCATGGAGCCACGTCAATACATATAAATCCAATAACTTTATTTTACATTCATACATTAAACGTACAGTTACTTTAATGCAGGTTAAAAAAAGCCCAATCCAAAACAAGTCCTGGTCATTTACAATGATGCATTTGCTTGTTAGAAGGTTGGTAACTAGCGTTAAAAATCTATGTACATTTAATGACACACACACAAAGGGATGTAGGACACGTAGCATCCTTGAGTCTAAACAGATGAATGGAGAAGAATTCGGTCACGAGAGAAAGGCACATTGAATACACAGTGTATGTACAAACCAAAACCTTGACACTTACACAACTTTACTGTAGGCGCTAGAACAATAACCAAAACTGTAAACTTCCACTTATGATAAACAAACAAACAAACGTTTAAACAAAAGTCACATCTGTACAAATACATTTGAAGCAAAATATTTTCTTGGTATTACCAAGGCCGTACCTTGAAATGCGTTAAACACCAAAGTCACAGATTGGCTCTGCCAGCAGAGAGCAACCCGGGATATAGTTACACAATGTCACAATATTTATGCTGTTGCCCAATTCATGTTTAACTGGCAACAGAAGTACCTCATGCATATCCAGACAGCAGCAGTCATCTGATATGTTGAGCTCATTTGATTGTTTTTCCTCCCACATGAGAATGGCAACTTGACATGGTGCAATATGTACATCTACATAAAAAGTAGAGACAATTCTGTACAGCCAGAAATTCAGATATCTTAAAATATATGTACCACCCGTCACTTGAATGCTCTCAGAAAAGTAAGTTCTCTGATATAAAATACTGTATTTTCAAAAAGACGGCTTCTTTACATTCCAGCCTTCAACAAAATAAAGCTTTATATATGTACCTTCAAAGCTTAGAAACACTCCAACATACATACATATATATTTAAATCTTTACAAACAAATAAAGTGACAAAGATGCCTTCAGTGGCTCTACGTTCACATGTAGTGGTAACCCGTTTAGAGTGGCAACCATGGCCAATTTAATTGTCTAATAAACACAGTGTGGCACTACAATTTTGGATGATTGTACAAAGTTTGGGTCTTAAATGCCAAGGTCAAGATTGCCTGTTGCAAAGTTTTTTTTCTTCCTCTCATTTCTCAACACGCTTTAGTCAGATCCGTGGGTATGTCTGTGGACATCCTGTACTGGATCTTTGTGTTGGTGATGGCTCCGTGCTTCTGGCGCAGATGCAGACGCAGCTGACTCTTGTGGCGGAAATGCAGGTTACATTTCTCACACTGAAATGGACAAAATCATCACACATTAAGTTAGCAAAAAAATACAAACAGTACATTTTGGATTAAATGTCAACATCCATTTAAAGAGTCAATCATAATCAGGGGGAAAATAAAAGACGACCACTTGCTACATAATAAAATTACAACTGTAAACAAAAACAGTGTTGGACTCACATGGTAGGGCTTCTCTCCAGTGTGGATGCGCAGGTGACTCTTGAGTGTCTGGAGGTGTCGGAAACGAGTCCCGCAGATTTCACAAGGGTACGGTTTCTCTCCGGTATGGATTAGGACATGGGCCCGAAGGTGAGCCACCTGCACAAAAACAAGTTATTAATAAGTGTTTTATACATGACAGAGGAGAGCAGAGAAGACAAATACATTTTTACCACAAAATAATATCACTCAAGAAAAATCTATGAACAGTGATCCCCATTAATACGCAAGTAAAAGTTAAATTGTTTTGGCAAAAAATACTAGAGTTTAGAGTTGATGTAATCTTCAAAATATATATCAATAATATATATCAAAATATAAACAATGCACAAATTCTGGTATTTTGGTAATTTTGCCACAATCAGAATGGGAAAATTAACTAAACTATTTAACTTAATTACATAAAAATGTTTACTTGAATAAAAATATCACTCAAGTTAAAGTAAAAGTTTGGCATCAGAAAACTACTCTGAAAGGTTACTCAAGCAAATGTACTGATTATGTCCATCTATTGGCATGACTCAATTGTTTAAAGGACATGTGATACTAATACTGTGTTGAATGTGATAGTGTTACCTGCACAAAGCGTGCTCCACATGTCTCGCATTTGTAGGGTTTTTCCCCTGAGTGGATGCGAGTGTGCGTCTTGAGGTTGGCTGGTCTGTTGAACTGAGCGCCACAGATATTACACCTGTACGGTTTCTCACCTGGAAGAAATCAAACATAGACAGCACATTAATGAATGCATATTTCATATTGGCTGGGTTCACATGACATAACATAACATTAACATAACATAATGTTCTAAAATGCCCATAATTTAAAATGAGTGTAGACAGAGGATAGGTCAGAACTGTATGTATGTATGTAACTGAATGTGTTTTAAAGCCAGTGTGTGCCGGCGTGTACCTGTGTGCACGGTCTTGTGACTGGCAAGGTTGCCCTTGTAGCGGAAGGCGGCCTGGCAGCGGTCACACTTGTACGGTTTGTCACTGTGCACCTGCAGCATATGCTGTTTCAGAGCCTCATCTTCAGCAAACTTTGAGTCACATTCATTACAGAAGAATGTGCCATTTTCTGTTTAGGGAAGTGAAAGTACCATAATATGAGATATGATTTATACTTTTACAGTAATAGTTTGTTACTATGGCACACTCACCACAGCTGGAGTCAGAGTACTCTGAGTGCAGCTCAGCCATCTCCTCTGTGAGGCGAGCGGCAGGGTTAGGGCAGACCTCTGAGTGCCGCGGCGACTGTGAACCACACGACGAACAGTTGAGGCGGGACAGGAAGTGCTGCGTGTCTCCGCTCCTCAGAGACCCTTCCAGAGCACTGCACACAAGGGACAGCTGTGAGAGGCCTTACTTAATGAATCAAAATAATATGACTCTGTTCTATAAAGAAAACGGTTGCAGTGTAACGCAGACTTTGTTTCACCACAGCACACACCAGCGCACAGAGGTGGTGCACTCAGCTCACCTGCTGATGATGTTGTTGAGGCGGCTGGTTTGTGGAGCTGGCAGCTCTTCACTGTGTTCACTGCTCTTGTTCTGAGGCTCCAAACTCTCCGAGTCATTCTGGTGAAGGTACGGCTGCAAAGCATGGCGCTGAGGTGAGCTCAACCCTGCGTCCTGAAGCCCCACCTCCTCCTCCTTGGCACTTTGATTCAACACAATGAACTTGTACTTCTTCCAGTTGCGTGCTTTGGGGTCCTGTGTGTTTGGTGGGGACTGCGCAGTACTCTGGGACAGACTGGCGTTTTTGCTGCTGCTGGACTCCGTGGGAGAATTGGGCTGACAGTCTGACTTGAGCGGGCTCTGGGGGCTACTCAGGAGGCTCTTCCGCCCTGAGGAGATGCCCATTGGGTAGTGCTGATGGAGCAGCTCCTCCTCTGCTGCAGCGTGATCTTTGGACGACTCTTTCGGGTGCTCCAGGCCGAGCAGTGGAAAAGCACGTTTCCTGGAGCTCTGACCGATGGACTGGCTCATGTCATGGCTATCTTTGCGTAGCTCCTCCTCTCGCGGTGCATAGGTGCTGGGGTGGATTATCCCGGAGCCCAGTGCTCGGCTGTAGTCAGCCCGAAAAGTGCTGTCGTGGGGAGAACAATGCTTGTGGTGCAGTCCACTCCTTGAAAGGTCCGCAAAAGCATTTTTGGCATCAGTGAGCTTACAGAGTGGGAAGGGAAACCCAGGCATAGGGAACTGGCCATACAGATGATAGTTAGAAGGAGTTGTGACCCCATTGAACATGTGAGAGCTGTAGGGTCTACTGTCCCTGAACGGAGCCACGCGGCTGTGCAAACTGTCCACCACTTCATGAGGTCGGAACGCATGGACGTCCTGAGGCAGCACCAGAGGGCTCACCAAAAACTCGTCCCTGGGCAGCTTGGCTGGGTCGCTGCACGCACACAGACAAATAGACAGATCAGAGGGTGAAACATTATTATAATGCACTATACTACAGTTTATGTTGAACTTCATGCATATACATGCATATAGATGATGTGTACACTGACCTGGTCTTAATGAATCTGTGGCAGGTGTCTACAACGTGGTCCATCTGCAGATATACGGCAGTGTTCAGAATGGCCATGATCAGACTCTCCTTGAGACTGAGGCGGGATGTGTACATGAACTCCAGCAGGATGGCAAAGCCCTCAGGGTCCACCTTAGGGTCCAGGCTGATGGCGCTGAGGCTGCACTTGTGTGAGTCAGTGAAGATGGAGTAAAAGAGTCCACTGCAGTGCACACACAGTACAGAGGTGA